GTTTCAGAAATAATAGCACTCATATCACTCTTTGAAAAATGGGTCAAATCAACTCAAAACACTACTAAAAAACTGCCAAAAAGCGACGGACGGCTTCGCTCCATAAAGCGACGCTAATTGCCACACCGACCGTCGCTTTTAAATAAAAAAAATTATTTTACAAAAAGCGACGGACGACATCTCTTAGTCCGTCACTTTTTATTAAAATAATTATTTATAAATTAAAAAGTCACGCCGTCCGTCGCTTTTTATTAATTTTAATTGTTTAATTATTTTTAAATAAGCGACGGATGGCATCTTTATGTCCGTCGCTTCTTGGTCAAAATATCTGGTCAAATATTTTAAGAAAGCGACGGACAGTGTCTCTTAGTCCGTCGCTTTTTGGTCAAAATGTTGGTCAACCATTTTAAAAAAAAGCGACGGACATAGAGACGCTATCCGCCGCTTTCTTTAAAATATCTGCATCTACCAGATGCGATTTTCCCCATTCTTCTTCTCTTCCTTCTCTCTAAAATCGCCGCCGCTGCTGCTGCTGCCACCTTCCCTCTCCATTGTCTCTTTCTCCTTTACTTTAAGGTTAGGGTTTCATCAAATTAGTTTTAAATTTTTTCAATTTGTGGTATATTGTTTGATTTTGTTAATGAGTTATTGAATTTGTGTTTTATTGAATGATTGATTGTGTTTGTTAGCAAATGAATTAGGGTTTTTATTTAAGTACTAGTTTGAATTTGAAAATCTTTAATTTGATTGTGAATTGGGATTTTTGTAAATTTGATGATTGTTAGTTAGTAAATTGTTAATTTGAAGTTAGAAGTTAGTATTGATGAAGTTTGAATATCATGAATATATATGATGAATGTTTGAATGTCATGAATGAATATATGAGGGTTTAATTTTTTTGAATTAGAAGTTGAATATATATATATATATAAAATTAATTATTGAATTAGAAGTTGAATATATATATATATATATATATATATAAAATCTAGAGTAACTAATTATGAACTAATAAATATTAAATATTACTAATTTTAATGTTATCTTCTTTAACCATCAACAAATTTAATTATTAAAATTACCCCACTGATTTCATATTGTAGTTACGAATAGTCCAAAATACTCATTTAGAATCTATCAAAAATATTTTATGAAATTAAAAGCTCTAGTACTCAAAACGACCAAACGGGTCGTTACAGTCAGCCCCACATATGAGATGACATCGTGAATATAGAAGGCCGCCAGGTGTCTTGTCTCATCCATCTGATGGTGAAGCATGGAAGCATTTTGATAATGTATATCCTGATTTTGCTAGTGAACCAAGAAATGTTAGATTGGGGTTGTGTGCAGATGGCTTCACACCATTCTGCTGCTTCACCTTATTCATGCTGGCGAGTATTTCTTACTCCATATAACCTTCCTCCTGAAATATGCATGACCAATCCCTACATCTTTCTAAGTTGTGTTATTCCAGGTCCCTGTAATCCAAAAAGTTTGATTGATGTCTATCTACAACCATTGATAGCTGAGCTCACACAATTGTGGTTTGAAGGCGTTTTGACTTATGATATATCAACCAAGCAGAATTTGGTTATGCGTGCTTCTTTAATGTGGACTATTAATGATTTTCCTGCATACAGGATGTTGTCTGGTTGGATGACAGCTGGAAAGCTAGCATGTCCGTATTGCATGGAAAATAGTAAGGCATTCACTTTAAAGCATAACATAAAAAAATACATGGTTTGATTGTCATCGACAGTTCTTGCCAATGGACCAAGAGTTTAGAAAGATGAAAAATGCATTTAGAAAAAATAAGATTAATTGAAAGTGACCCCCCCCCCCACCTCCATTACTCACAAGGCATCAAATTTGGGAGAGAGTTTCTCAATTACCTAAAGTTACAGAAGCTTCACCTTCTAGACTTCCTGGATATGGTGTTGAACATAATTGGACCAAACAAAACATATTTTGGGAGTTGTCGTATTGGAAGGACAATCTGCTACGACATAATCTTGATGTGATCCACATTGAAAAAATTATTTTGACAATTTGTTTAACACAGTGATGGATGTTAAGGGTAAGACAAAAGACAATCCAAAAGCTAGAATGAACATAAAAGAATATTGTAGGAGAAAAGAGTTATGGCCGCAGGAATTACAAAATGGTAAAATAGTTAAGTCAGCTTTTCATTCACATTGGATGAGAAACGTGAAATTTGTGAGTGGGTTAAAAATTTGAGGATCAATAACAAGACCTAACTACCCGGATTATAATCAATAATATCAACCCTAGGTCAAACCCTTGATCCCTATACTGAGATTAGGGCTTTTTCCACCATAATTCTCAGATCAAAACCATCGCCCATCGATAATTTCCCAAGAAACTAAGTTCTACGGATCGAAACATGGATTCAAGGAGTTAAAACCTTACCTTTGGTGCTAGAAGAGGTGGAAAACCTTCGAGAAATATCCCTGGGTCGTTCCTTAGCTCTCAAGTTCAAATGTTGCAGAATAATAACGTTTTGGGATTTATTTCCGACTTAAGTTGCGTCTGTCCCGCTGTGGCGGACCTCATCCCGCTATAGCGTCCCTGCCCTGGTGGGAAAATTCCGCCTTGGCGGCTTGCATGGAAACAATGAGCTATTTTAAGAGTTCCAAACCCCCCATTTCACAACACACCTTCATCCCATGACACTCAGAAAATACCCGTTCCCGCTAAGATCAGTTTTGGGAGTTCTATTCGCCCAAATTCGATTCTATAAAGTCGTGTGGATTTCTTAACGTCTTAGCTATCTACTCATGCAATCAAATTCCTTATTAAATCACCCAATAATTACCAGATTTCCCTAGACTCACATGACTCCGATTTCATCCAAATCCGAACTAGGCTAGGAAATTCCAAGTTATTACGAAAAAGTCTTTTGGCCTAAATTTTTTTTCTCGATGGCTTTTCTATAATGACGGGAACATGTCGTTACATAAAGAAATGGAATAAAGACAGGGATGGAGACAATCGACAAAAGAAGAAGATAAAATATCCATAAAACACAGAAAACGACACTACAAAAGCAACACATCTGAAACACAAACAAAAAAAGCACTTCTTTAACATAAAGGTGCACAAAACCCTAACAAATCTGCTTAAGACGAAACTAAAGTAAAACCTTAGAAAACGAAAGAACAACCACATTTCTTTTTTTTAAGATAAACGTGAACAAACCCATACAAATCACTATAAAAACCAGATTTTAGACAAAAAATTAAAGATACAAGTGAAAATCAAAACTCAACAGTCAACAACATCTTTCTTACTAGCTAGGAATGACAATACAAGCAAAAATCGAACACAAAATAAGATCTCGTAGATGAACATAGTAAAAGTGTGAGTACCTATGACCGGATCTGAGTGAATCCACCAAGAATAACGGAGACGGGCGAGTAGTTTACGTCTGATGAACTAGGATTTTTGTTGGTGAGATGAACAAAAGTAACGAGTATAGGGGATTTTTCTTTAGGATTTTAGAGAGTTTATTTGTAAATCGGGTGGGTTAAATGAGTTATGGGCAGGTTTTGAAATTTGGGTTAAAAAATTGGTCAACCCAGATTGTGGCGTAGGATTGCGCCACGTGTACATAATAAGTATTTTGTTAGTGGGAGGGGTAAATGTGCACTGATTATTGGAAGGAAAGGGCTCTGATGGACGAAAAGTATGACAGAGGATATTGGCATACTATTTTCGAAATTTTGGGAGGTACATTTATCCTTTTTCCCAATTTTAAAAATTGGGATTCAAATCCCAACAAAGCACAAAAACATTGTTATTTCTTCCCATCCACATAACCCTTAGTTGACAAAGTTTCTCAATACTTGTGTTGCTGCCTGATAATGAGAAATAACAGATACTCTGTAGAATAACCAAAATAGGCCTAAACACTATTTTTGTAAACAAATTTATAAAGGAGGAACAGCCAAATGGCATGAACGTTGAAGAATACACGCATTATATATAATTTAATAATTACGTGAGTTTGATTTTAACCAATCATATCTTATTCAAGATCAACCTTCGTGACATAGACATAACAATGTATTAATTTGCTTCCCAAGGCCCAAAGTCTCCAATGATTTAGATGCTTGCGGCACACAAGAAAAACTAATAGCATCAAGACATACAATGAAATAAAATAGGCATCAACAAGGGATGTGATTAATGGATTAGAATCATGATCAAGCTTATAAATGCAAACGATAATAGGTAGTTTCATACACAAAGCATCCCGCGTTAGCACAGTTGAGAAAAGAGTCGCACCTCAAAGGACATACTATGGATTTGTCTACCCTAATACAAGCCACACTCAAAAGGTGTAATTTGGACAGTCTACCTAATTCAAGCATTACTACGAGAGATTATACCTAAGATAAGGCAAATGGAAAAATAGAAACATCCCACACTAGCAGAGTTCGAAGAAGTACCACACCCCTAAAGATGTAATATGAATAGTCTACCCTAATACAAGCATTAGTAACCAAACCCTTCCGCATTAGCAGAGTTCGGAGAAGGGCTCACACCACAAAGGATGTAATGTCCAATGCTAACATTAGTAACCAAACCGTCCCGCATTAGCGAGTGATCTCCCCTAATACAAGGATTAGTATACCTAAAACAAGGCAAATGGAAAAATAGAATGGGGTGAGAGAGGCTCGAACTCTCGACCTCAGGATTACTCAGAAGCTATGAGACCTACGCGCTAGCCAACTGCGCCACCACCCCTGTTGTGGATAAAAACCCACACATTATTTTAAAACCAATGTACAAAACCAAACAAATCTTTCACACAAAATAATACAAAATGCAAGTTTTATAGTCTAGTTTTGACTGGCAAAGTTAACATCTTAGCAACTAAAGTCTAGTAAAATAACAACCAAATCCTCAAAATATTTTCCATTAACATCCATAAATGACATACATATATGATATATGTATACCATTAACATCTTCTGCTAATTCTTGTTTCCAGGGTCAGCATGGGGAAAACCATAAGGTGATACCATAATCATCCTGCAAAACATAAATGATTATCCAGTTTAGAAACAAGTAATGTAGATATTAATTATATTGGTAGTCTTCTTAATGAGAAGAAATGTAATATATATATATGGATTAGAAGGATAATACAAATATGTATGAAAAGAAAAATTAAAATATATTACTATGCCTTAGAAAGTTGTAGAGAAAGAGCACTCAAAGTTTATTAAAATATAATAATTAATGTTGTATGGATTTTTCAAATTGATATATATTACAAAGAGCATTCAAAATTTAAAAGCTATAAAAAAAAGTCATAATAGACTAGAGGGAAGGAATCATTTTCTAGTTCTTCACGATTTGGAAATTTTCATTTTTTATACCTAAGATGCTTTCATTATTTATATATATAAAAGATCTGAAAAAGACATATAATTTTCTTCTATTCAAACTTGATTGTGAAGATATATTCTCTTTAGGTTTACTATGACAACTTCAATTACTCTTGATCTTCTAAAACTATTTGATCATTTGTTGAACTTAAAGATCAATTTGAGAAGAATAACTAATAATTCACCTTCTTAATTTTCTAAAATGAAGTTATAACTTAAAAAGTTTAAATAAGTTTACACAGACACAAAACAAAATTGATATTTGAAAATAAAAAAATATTGGAAGGAATATTTGAAAGTATGATATTACGTTTAGATAAGCATTTAACTTAAAAATAAATAAATTAGATGAATACCAACCTCTCTTTTCGCTTTTCCAAGAATTTAACCGATGATTTTCTTGTTGCCAATGGTACATCTACATGTAACAAAGACCAACATATTAAAATAATTCGAAGATGAACAAAACATTAATCAAATTTAAATTACAAGGAGAAGGAAAAAATGTTTAACCTTCGCTTAAGGTTTTCACAAACATTGGTTGTTTTGACGATTCTGCAAACTTTAGAACTCCATCCACCTACGAACATAATATATAATTCAAAAATCATAGTTATATATAATCAATTCAAAAGTAAAGGAAATAATTCAAGGAGCAATGGTAGTTGATTGATAAAAACCTTTTCACTGAAGACTTCGAAAATTGTAACTTTTTCATTGTAGAAAATAGTCAGAGGCGCAATTTTCATGCCAAATCTCGAAGGGCAAAACCTAATTAATAAAATCAATTCAAAGATCAATCAATAAGTATTTTCATTATTGAAAGCATTAACATTATATGTTTGCCAACTTTCTTATATATTTTTTTAAAATATATTATTATTTTTTCTAGAAATGTTCATTTTTAACATATAAGAGATTTTTATTTTTCACACATAAGAAATCTAAAAAATTATTTTCTTCTTATAAATTATAAGACTGCTACTGCCAATTTTATTTATTTTTTATTTTATAAAAGAGCAAGAAAATGCATTTCCCCGAACTTTTACTGGGAGAACTAAAAAGAAACATTAATACACTGATCATGATAAATTATTCATTTCTTTCCTTTATTTAATATTCTTCTAGAGGGAGAAGTTAATTCCTAATTGAAAATATAATTTAATTAAGTATTCTCATGAAGTAACAACAGTTCTCTTAACTCTTTTTTGGTAAAGATTACCTTTTATATTCTCATACAAATTACTCTATGTCTTTTCAAACTATTTACTTATTTTTGAGGTTAGGATCAATAATTTGAGGAAAAAATTGAAGGTTATGGTAAACTAGATTTGAGAGGTTAAGTAGGCATTCCGACATAAAAAATGTGACGTTGGACAAAAAAGAATGCTAGAGAAGGGTATTAGAAAATATTAACTGAATGTGAATATCATTTAAATAAATTGAAAACATAGAAATTTTGGGAGTGCAAAAAAATTCACCTCTCTTTTTGATTCTCCAAAACTCCAAGCATAAAGTTTCTCCTTGCCAAGTCTAGATCTATATGCAACAAAAATCAACACATCGTTAAAATAATTTGAAGATCAACAAAATATTAATCAAATTTAATTTTTAAATGAGAAGGAAAAGAAAATTGTTTAACCTCCACTTAATGATCCCACGGAAAATTGATTTTTAGATGAAAATGCATCCCTTTCTATAAACTTTAGAATATTTGCCGCCTACATTTACAACAAATAATTCAAAATTCACAATTATGTGTAATCAATTCAACAGTGAAACAAAACTAATCAGAATGCCATTTAATTAATCAAAACCTTCGCACTGGAGACATCATAAACCGCAATCTTCCCATCATAGAAAATAGTCAAAGGTGCAACTTTAATGCCATTTTCCGAGTCACAATCAAGCCTGATCAACACAATCAACACAAAGATTAATCTATGGATATTTTCGCTATCCAAAGCATTAACCAAGACAATGTAGTCATTGCATTTGCTTAAAAAATACTGTTATTTTTTTACGAGAGATTTTCATATATATAATTTAACAAATAAAATTTTCAATTTTCTTACACATTATAGATCTGAAAATAAATAATTTATTCTGTTCAAATAATAAAAGAACTTTACCAAAAATATCAAAATCATAAAAAGGCAAGAAATCACTTTTCCTCATACTTCTAGGGAGAGTACTAAAAAAATACATTATTATGACAATTATCCTATTTATCAGAACCTTGTTCATGTTGAAATTGAAACAAATTACATTGAAGTATTATGATAATTATCCTATTTATCATGTTATAATTGATATTTACATATCCCTATTAGCTTTGAAAATGTTTGTGTAATGAAGGCTATTACTAATAGTGCATAGGCACGTTAAGACTATTTTAACTAAAAAGGAATTTTGTTTGTTATAAAGATTATCTTTAAATCAATTAAAATTATCTTCTATATCTTCTCGTCAAACTAATTGATCATTTATTGAAGTTAAGATTAATTTCGAGAAGAATAATTAATATCTTTTTAATTTTTTAAAAGTGAAGCTTATGATAAACTGAATTGAAAGGCTAAGTAGGCGTTTTCCACATTAAAAAATAAGGGTGATATTTGACAAAACAAAATTTATAATGGGTATTAGGAAGTACGAAATTGTATTTAGATATGTATTTAATCAATTTAAAAAAAATTGAAAAATGAGAGTAGAAACTTTTTTACCTTATTTGTGGCTTCTCGAAGATTCTAAGTGAGGAGTTTATCTTCGGCAATGATAGATCTACATGCAACAAAAACCAACACATTGAAATAAATTGAAAATGAACAAAATATTATACAAATTTAATTTTCATAGGACAAGGAAAAGAAAAAGAAAAATGTTTAACCTCCATTAACCTCCATTGTTTGACGACAAGACATCATTAGTTATTGACATTTTTGCAAACTTTAGAATTTCATTCGCCTACATGCAGAACAATTATTCAAAAATTACAATTACATGAAGCCAATTAATAATTGAGAGAAAATAGATCATGGATCAATAACATTTGATTGATGAAAACCTTGTCATTGGAGACATTGAAATTTGCAAAGATTCCATTGTAGCAAATAGTCAAAAGTGCAATTCTCAAGCCATTTTCCGAGCCACCACAAAGCCTAATAAATAAAATCAACACAAAAATCAATCGATTAATATTTTCATTATCTAAAGCATTAATCGAGTAATACAAACGTTATATATGTTTGTCAAATTTTTTATATAATTTTTAAATTTTGATGTTCTTTTTACTAGAAATCTTCATTTTTAATATATGAGATATTTCCATTTTTTTCACATAAGAAATCTAAAAAAATATTTTCTTTTAAATAATGAGAGAGCTATTGTCAAATTTTTTTTTTATAAAAGGGCAAAAGATTACATTTCTTCAAAGTTCTAGAGGGAAATGTTTGAAACGAAGTATCTCACCTAAAAGGAGCGAAACCCTAATCAACGTTTTAGATCCTTAAAAAACACATAAATACACTAATCATGATAAATTCTTTATTTCATTCTTGTATTTATTCTTCTTGGCTTTGCAGACACATAATTTAATTAAGTACTCTCTTTAAGGAACAATCCAACTTCTCTTAATTCTTTTTGGTAAATATTGCCCGTTATATTTTCATACAAAAATACTCTTCATCTTTTCAAACTATCATTTATTGAAGTTCAGATTAATTTTGGAGAAATTTTTTTAATGTTATGATAAACTAGATTTGAGAGGTTAAGTAGGCGTTCGGACATATAAAAAAAATGTAATATTGGACAAAAATTGTTAGAAAAGGGTATTAAAAAATATGTATTGTATTTGAATATGTATTTAAATAACTTGAAAACATAGAAATTTTGAAAGTGCAAAAAAGTTCACCTCCCTTTTTTGCTTCTCTAAGACTCCAAGCATAGAGTTTCTCCTAGCCAAATGTTGATCTATATGTAACAAAAATCAACACATTATCAAAATAATTTCAAGATGAGCAAAATATTAATCAAATTTAATTTTGTAAAGGAGAAGGAAAAGAAAATTGTTTAACCTCCAGTTAATGTTTCCATGGAGATTTTTTTTCCGGATGGAAATGCATCATTAAATTTTGACCTTTCTGCAAACGCTAGAATATTTGCTGCCTACGTATATGATAAATAATTTGAAAATCACAATATGTTTAATTAATTTAACAATGAAACGAAATCAATTAGGAATGAATAACATTTGATTAACACAAACCTTATCCATAGAAACATTGAGACTAGCACTCTTTCCGTCATAGGAAAAATTCATGGGAAATTTTTTTATGTCATTTTTCAAGCCACAATCAAGCCTGATTAATACAATCAACACAAATATTAGTTGAATTTTTTTTGTTAAAAAGATTATCTTTAAATCTCTTAAGATTATCTTCTATATCTTCTCGTCAAACTAATTGATCATTTATTGAAGTTAATATTAATTTCTTTAACCTCCATTGTTTGACGAAAAGACTTCATTAGTTGTTGACATTTTTGCAAACTTTAGAATTTCATTCGCCTACATGCACAACAAATATTCAAAAATTACAATTACATGAAGCCAATTAATAATTGAGAAAAAATAGATCATGAATCAATAACATTTGATTGATGAAAACCTTGTCATTGGAGACATTGAAATTTGCAACCATTCCATTGTAGTTAATAGTCAAAAGTGCAATTCTCAAGCCATTTTCCGAGCCACCACAAAGCCTAATAAATAAAATCAACACAAAAATCAATCGATGGGTATTTTCATTATTTAAAGCATTAATCGAATTAATATAGACGTTACATATGTTTGTCAACTTTTTTTTATACATTTTAAATTTTGATGTTTTTTTTTACTAGAAATCTTCAATTTTAACATATGAGATATTTTCATTTTTTACACATAAGAAATCTAAAAAATATTCTCTTTTAAATAACAAGAGAGCTATTGTCAAAAAAAATAAAAAATTATAAAAGGGCAAAAGATTACATTTTTTCAAAGTTCTAAAGGAAAAGGTTAACGAAGTAGCTCACCTAAAAGGAGAGGAAACCTAACCAACGTTTTAAGACATGTATATGTTTGTCAGTTTTTTCTTAAATATATATTTTAAAAATTTTAGTGTTCTTTTTACGAGAGATCTTCATTGTTAACACTAATTAATACAATGATCATGATAAATTCTTTATTTCTTTCCTTTATTTATTCTTCTTGGCTTTGCAGACATATAATTTAATTAAGTACTCTCTTTAAGGAACAACCCAACTTCTCTTAATTCTTTTTGGTAAAGATTGCCCTTTATATTTTCATACAAAACTACTTTTCATCATCTTATCAAACTATCATTCAGTGAAGTTCAGATTAATTTTCGATAAAAGTTTTTAATGTTATGATAAACTAGATTTGAGAGGTTAAGTAGGCGTTCAGACATATAAAAAAAATGTAATATTGGACAAAAAATGTTAGAAAAGGGTATTAAAAAATATGTATTGTATTTGAATATGTATTTAAATAACTTGAAAACATAGAAATTTTGAATGTGCAAAAATGTTCACCTCTCTTTTTGCTTCTCAAAGACTCCAAGCATAGAGTTTCTCCTAGCCAAATGTTGATCTATATGTAACAAAAATCAACACATTATCAAAATAATTTCATGATGAGCAAAATATTAATCAAATTTAATTTTTCAAATAAGAAGGAAAAGAACATTGTTTAACCTCCAGTTAATGTTTCCACAGAGATTTTTTTTCCGGATGATAATGCATCATTAAATTTTGACCTTTCTGCAAACGCTAGAATATTTGCTGCCTACATATATAATAAATAATTTGAACATCACAATATGTTTAATTAATTTAACAATGAAACGAAACCAATTAGGAATGAATAACATTTATTAATACAAACCTTATCCATAGAGACATTGAGACTAGAAGTTTTTCCGTCATAGTAAAAATTCATGGGAAATTTTTTTATGCCATTTTCCGAGCCACAGTCAAGCCTGATTAATACAATCAACACAAAGATTAGTTGATGGGTATTTTCATTGTGTACAAACATTAACCAAGTCAATGTATTGCATTTGCTTAAAAATATATCTTTTAATTTTATATTCTTTTTACGTAACATCTTCTCATCAGACTAATTTATCATTTATTGAGGTTAAAATTAAAATTATATTTAATATTTTCTTGATTTTCTAAAATGAAGCTTATGGTAAACTAGATTTGAAAAGCTAAATAGGCATTTCCATATTATAAAAAGAAGGTGATATTTGACAAAACAAAAGTTATAAGGGGTATAATAAAGTATGAAATTTTATTTGAATATGTATTTAATTAACTTGAAAAAATAAAATAAAAATTGTGAGTGAAAATAAATTCACCTTGTTTTCGGCTTCTCCGAGAATCTAGGCACGGAGATGCTCCTTGCCAATGGTAAATCTACATACAACAAAAAACAACACATTAGTGAAATAATTTGAAAACGAACAAAACATTATATAAATTTATTTTTCATAGGATAAGGAAAGAAAAATGTTTAACCTCCATAGTTTGATGAAAAGTCATTCTTAATTTTTGACATTTTTGCAAACTTTAGAATATCTTTCGCCTACATTCACAACAAATATTCAGAAATCACAGTTATATGAACCCAATTAAAAAGTGAAAGAAAATAAATCAAAAATCAGTGACATTAGATTGATAAAAACCTTGTCACTAGAGACATGGAAAGATGCAACCATTCCATTGTAGCAAATAGTCAAAAGTGCAATTTTCATGCCATTTTCTGAGCCAGCACAAACCCTGGTTAATAAAATCAACATAAAGATCAATCGATGGATATTTTCATTTTCTAAAGTATTAACCCTATTAATGCAGACATGTATATGTTTGTCAGTTTTTTCTTAAATATATATTTTAAAAATTTTAGTGTTCTTTTTACGAGAGATCTTCATTGTTAACACTAATTAATACAATGATCATGATAAATTCTTTATTTCTTTCCTTTATTTATTCTTCTTGGCTTTGCAGACATATGATTCCTAGGTTTACTATGGCTAAGTTAATTCTTGATAAAAAAAATTATAATGTAATTAAGTACTCTATTTAAGAAACAACACAACTTCTTTAATTCTTTTTTAGTAAAGATTACCTATTATATTTTCATAAAAATTACTGTCCTTTTAAACTATTAACTCATTTATCGAAGATAGGATTAATTTGGAGAAAAATATTGAAGGTAGTAAAGTAATTGAGAGGTTAAGTAGGTGTTCGGACATAAAAAAAAAAGTGAAGTTGGACAAAAAATGTTAGAAAGGGATATTAAAAAATATGAATATTTGGATATGCATTTAAATAACTTGAAAACATAGAAATTTCGGAAGTGGAAAAAAATTCACCTCTCTTTTCCCTTCTCCGAGAATCCAAGCATAGAGTTTCTTCTCACCAAATGTTGAGCTATATATATGTAACAAAAGCCAACACATTATTAATCAAATTTAATTTTCAAATAAGAAGGGAAAGAAAATTTTAACCTCCACTTAATGTTTCCACAAACAATTGTTTTTCGGATGAAACTGCATCTCTTGTTTCTGACCTTTCTGCAAACTCTAGAATATTTGCCACCTATATACATAATAAATAATTCAAAAATCACAATTATGTGTAATCAATTAAATAGTGAAACAAAACCAATCAGAGAAGAATGACCTTTGATTATTACAAACCTTATCACTGAATATATTGAAACTCACACTCGTTCCATCATAGCAAATAGTCAAAGGCGTAATTATTATGCCATTTTCCAAGCCAGAGTCAGGCCTAATTAATACAATCAACACAAAAATTAATCGATGTGTTCATTGTCTAAAGCAATAATCAATATATATATATATATATAAAAGAATATATTTTCTATTCAAATTATAAGAGAGCTATTACTAAAAAAATAATTATAAAAGGGAAGATATCTCTTTTCTCCGACTTATAGGGAGAGTACTCAAAAAAGAACATTATTAGATAGATGATGATAACTCCTTTATTCCTCTCTTTTTTGGTTCTATTTATCATGTTATAATTGATATTTGCAGATCTGTGTTGAAGAAGTTGCAGAACTTTCGTTATTAAAAAGATTATATGTATATCTCCTAAATTTATTTTTTATATCTTCTCGTCAAACTAATTGATCATTTATCGAAGTTAAGATTAATTTGAAAAAAATAATTAATATCTTAGCTTCCTGGTTTTCTAAAATTGTGTTTGAATATACATTTAATTAACTTGGAAAAAAATTTGTGAGTGAAAAAGAATTTACCTCGCGTTTTGCTTCTCCGAGAATCTAAGCAAGGAATTTCTCCTCGCCAATGATAGATCTACATACAACATAAACCAACACATTACTGAAATAGTTTGAGAATGAACAACATTATACAAATTTAATTTTCAAAGGAGAAGGAAAAGAAAAATGGTTAACCTCCACTTAATGTTTCCACAGATAATTGTTTTTTTGGCGGAATGACATTCTTAATCTTTGACTTTTCCGCAAACATTAGAATTTCCTTCACCTACATACACAACGAATAATTTAGAAAAACAATTACGTGAAACCAATTAAAAGTGAAAGAAAATAGATTAGGGATTAATGACATTTGATTGATAAAAACCTTGTCGCGGAAGACATTGAAATTTGCAATCTTTCCATTGCACCCAATAGTCAGAAGCACAATTTTCATGCCATTTTCCAAGCCACCACAAAGCCTAATTAATAAAATCAACAAAAAGATCAATCAATATTTTTTTTCATTGTCTGAAATACTAATCGACTCCCTACAAACGTTATATTTGCTCAAAAAATCTCTATTCTTTTATAATTTTTAAATATATATATTCTTTTAGCGATAAAATTTTATTGTTACACATAAAAAATAAAATTGAGAGGGGGGATGTTTGGCTGTGCAGAAATTTGATTCCTAGGTTTACTATGACAGTTAATTGCTAAGTTAATTCCTAATCATAAATGTAATTTAATTAAGTGCTCTCTTTATAGAACAATTCAACTTCTTTTGATTCTATTTGATAAAGATTACATCTTATATCTTCAAAAATTACTCTTTTAATCTTCAAATTATTTAATTCTTTATTTAAAAGCGCCCTTTTGCTATTGATATGCATTTAATTTGAAAAAAAATAAAAATACCAACCTCTCTTTTCGGTTCTCCAAGAATCTAAGTTGAGAGTTTCTCCTCGCCATTGAGATGTCTAAATCCAAAAACAAACCAACACTTCCTCCATTTAGATAAATAGTTTGAAGATGAAAATCAAGATTATTGAAACACTCATCAAATTCTCAAAAAATGTTTACCTTGACTTTGCGTTTCCACACCCAATGGCTTTTTTGATGAAGAGACATTCACAACATTTGAGCTATCTGCAAACTTTAGAATTTCCTCCGCCTACATACACATCAAATTCAAAAAACACAATTTACATGTAACCAATTCAATAGTGAAAGGAAAAGGTTCTAGGATTAATGACATTTGATTAATAAAAATTAACCTTATCCCTCGAGACATTAAAAATCTCAACTGTTTCATCGCAGATAAAACTCAGCGTCACAATTTTTGTTGTTGCGTTTTTCAAAACTTCATTGGGATTGGTCTTCCCAGTCACATTATCAATACCTACAAGAAAATTTCACAAGGAAAAATAATTAGGATTCAATGTTAATTAGCTGGATTTTCCCTTTGTAACTATTGATATACTTTGTATTGAGATAAATCAAACATATATGTATACTTACACGCATGAACATATACTCATTGATGAATTTCTATAGCAAATTAGTGAAAAAGAAAGGAAAATTAAAACCTCCAAAGGTGATTTCACTTTTAAATTTAGGTGCGAAAATTAAGTGAAATTTTTATTTATTTTCTGATATTTAGTTTGTAAGCAAAAAAAATTATTTTCAAATATATTTTCTATATAATTCAACCATATATAGAAAATCAAAAGAAAAGTTGAAAAAAAAAACTACTTTTCTCCTTACCTAACACACCTTCTTCATTTAAAGATTTTCCTTCTTTATAGAAAGTGAGATTAAGTTTAAAATTTAAACAATTTTACTATTTTCTATAACATTAAGAAAATAAAAAAATATTTTTATGCATCTTTTTAACCTGTAAAAACCAATTATTCAAATATCGCGATAATATCCAAAAAAATAAATATAAAAACCGACATGTTATAGAGAGTTTTAATTGTATTTGTTTTATTTAAAAAATAAAAACAATTCAGTTACTTAAGTTATGTTATTATAATCGTTCGGAGTCGTGATAGAAGTTATTTTTTTCATTATATTAATAAATTATTAGTTTTAAATATAAATTTAATCATAATCAGTATATTACATGCTAAGCATAGTAATATCTAATGTAGGCATGGAAGTACTAAATTATTGATTTTATATACCTAGTGCATTGTAATTTTACTTTCCTAAAAATTTATTGTACTACGTTTAATGTAGTAGTTTTTTTTTTTGTTTACCTTTTATATTCTCACACTTTATGACACTGTAAGATTGATATGTCCTAAAAAGGCTACAACAATAGATAGCTACTGTATTTGAATTAAACTTTAACTTAATATAACACGAAAAACAAATTAAATTATAAATAATAATTAATTAAGCTAGCATTTAGTCAAACATTCTAAAGTATATTTTGACAATTTATCTTTAAATATTTATTTGACCATAAAATTTTATCTGAAAATTTGATTTTTAAATATTATTTGGAACTTCCAGTCACACTTTAATTTTTTTTCCAAATAAATACATGTTCAAGTACAATTTCCAAATAAGAAAATCACTAGTTAAATATTTTAATTTTTCAAATTTCAGCTTCAAAAAATATAGCCAAACGGGGCTAAAATTAGTACTGACACCTACAATGTTAAGTTGAGTGGAAAGGACCGTCCATCACACGAAGTGCACAAATAACGAATTTTGCGTGTGTTTATTAAGAGGAAACATCAACTAAAAACGACAATTAACCTCAAGTAATAATAGTATAGATTCTTGTCAAGTGTTTGGTTATAAAACTTCAAAATTCAATTTGAAGTTGAATCTCAAATTTGAGAAAAAGTGTTCTTAACGTGTTTTTTTATTTTCATCTTCATAAATCAAATAACGTGTCATCTTCTCTCCTTTGCAAAAAGTACAATCAAACATAAGTTTATCTTCAACTTCCACTTTATAAATCTAAATAAATCAAAAAATATTTGAAATCTATTATAAACTTCACTTATTGAATTCTAAGATCTTGAGTATAAAAATCATAAAGGATGATGTTAAGGAAATATACCTGAAGACATTATCACAAAGCAAAAGCGTTGATTCAAAAAATGTTTCTAACTCCTTCCTCTAACTTTATGTTACCACCAACGGCAGCAATGGAAATGTGCGAAGAAAATATGTTAACCCTAATGGGTGAAAAAGATAAATTTATAGAGGTTTAGATTTAATCTGGCACGTCCATCAACCAAGCCATCTAATGATAGATTGAGTCTTCAGTAGTTATTAATGATGTACTTTACATTAATTGGGCCACACATAAAATAATAAGAAGTCTAACATTTTTCCACTTGGCCCAATAACCACATAACGCTAATTATTTAAGAGAAAATATCATAAATAACAAAGAGATTAAAATTAATAAGCCTCATTAGCTCCAATTTACCTAATTTTGCTCCATAACTATAGTTTCATTTCCTATGGGTATTTCTGTTTGTATAATTCGCTTGTCAATATACAAATAGAGTAAGTCGGTTAGTATAATTTGCTTGTCAATACACAAAAAAGGTAAGTATATACAAATTCTGTATTAATATGTTTAGAATTTTTTCAAAACTTATACAAAATCAAATGTATAAACAAATGTACCAACATGATATCATATACAAGTTAGGGTAAGCATATACAAATTTTAGATTTGTACAATTATGAACTAAATTATACAAATTCTGAATTTATACAATTAGGAGTCAAATTATACAAAATTTGGATGTGGCCCATGTGAATATGGTTATATATATTAGCGACGAAAAGTAATTTCTTGAAACTATTGTTATATTAAATAATTAACTAGTATTTGTTTGCTTAATTTTGTAATTTCCTCAATATTTAATGATACATTCATTAGTTAGGCATAAAACAAATACGTTCTACATTAATATTCATCATACATATCATAATATGACAAATCGCTAATGTGAATTATGGCGGCTATACATAATAATATTATGCTACATACTCCCTTCCTTATACTACAACACTAGTACTTTATCATACCAATAATGAGGATCCTAGCCATTTAATTTAATTTAATTAAATAATTAACTAAAATAATTAAAACAAACTTTGTCCAAAAAATAATCTCTCGATAGATCATTTTCCA